TAATACTCTTTGACTCTACAAAGGAAATTTTTTTAACATACATGTGTAGAATGTACCTTATTTGGACATAGTCTGATCAGTTAGCAGCCTGTGATTGGCTGAAGTGGAGCTGCTGTGATTGGCTGAGACACAGCTATTTGTTACAAAATATACTACTAAATTAAGTTTTTGGCTTGTTTACATACTAAGTTGGGTTGCAGTTCAGTTAGGTAGGGACTCAAAGTGTAGAAGTAGCCTCAGGCAAAATTCAGTTTAATTTCACATTAAGATTAGAAAGCACTGGTCAAGGTCTTTCTATAGGCAGTGTATAGAGCGTTCAGTTCTGGTCACCCATCTAATAAAACTAGATATGAACATGAAAATTTAGTACATTGATAGGTGAAAGGATGGCATGTAATTTTCATTTACATTTTTATTATTAGTGAAAATTAGCAACGTGGTTCATTAAAAAGTTACTTTTTTCCAGGAAGTATTTGTCAGATCAGCAGAATCAAAAAAAAAAAAAAAATGTAGCAAGTATTTAGTTTTTACATTCAAGAGTCTAGGTAGTCTCAGGTATAAATTATAAAGAGTTAGTAAATAGGTTCAGTCAGCCAGACCTATGCTGTATCTTTTCACATTAAGATCTCATGAGCTGATGATGGGAGAGAATTTGTTGGTAAGAGAGAGGTTTCAGATATTGGTCTTTTTTGATGCCCTACGTCATAGGCTGAGCTGGATGTAAGTAGAGACACATCATAACCCTCCTTTAAGTTCAGACACTTGAGAATAGAGGGGTATTGCACATCATTTTCTGAGAGAGGTCCAGGGAGATGATAAGCATCATAGAGTAGTTCCCGAGGGTGTTGCGTCTATAAAGTAGAAATAGTGATATAACATGAGAGGGCTTGAAGTAAGAGCTGAAGTCAGTTTCGCAAGAATTAAAAAGTTATATTTTTTCACATCTGACTTAAGGACTATGAAAAGTTACACCATTACATTTGAGTTTGCATTTATTTCATCATGTATGCACCTGTCTTGGTCACTTTTCAGTCATGAGCTTCTCTGAGCCTTAACTTTCTCATTTTAAAATTGGAGATAATATCTATATAGTGTGCTTTTCTCCCTAAGTACATACTCAAGCGTCTTGTCCAAGATTTTACGAGTGGTTTATTCCTTGCCCAGCTGAACAGGATATATCAAGGTCAAGCACACTAACCAGGTAATATACCAGATAAGGCTGTGTCTATATATATATATATGTAGCCCCTGTCACAAATTCTGCCCTGAAATGATACTGCTGTCTTTGGCCAGGATTAGGGATCTTTGGTGAAACATCTGGTCAAGCTGGATAGGGCTCCCTACACAGTCTACACATTTCTATCAGCAACTGAAGGAGCTCTGCTGGCACTGCAGTTGCAGAGTGATGTTTGCCATGAGAGGCCCACTTGTTTCAGTCACAGGGATGCACCCTGGCCTGTGAGTAGATGGGAATCTAACTAGGTTCCCAGCAGTCCTATGCAACTTTCTTGGAATTCTGACTCTGGATTTGTAAGGATTTGTTCACTATAAAACACAGGTCTTGGTAGATTCTAGACTTTGGGACAATTTTACTGGCTCCTAAGGCACATCTGATGGTAGGGGGGACTACCCTTATCTACTCTTTTTTGCTATAATTTATACCACATGGCACCTGGCCAGGTTCAGAGCCCAAGATGACCTAGAGTTCCTCAGTCATTCTTCACCCAGTGTGCAGGTAGCCACATAATTCACTCCATCATTTGAGTTGCCTGAGAAGTATGCAGTTTTTCAGAAAGATATTCTTAGATGTTGAAGCTAAGCAGTGCCTCAATGACCACTCAATTGTTTTATTTAACGATTTAGATTTTCTCCCAGAGTTACTCCAGTATACTTAGTAAATGGTGTTTTTAAGCTTGATTCTCACTTTTAGAATTCTATCTCAGCATTATCAGGATTTGATGACATCATGTAGGCAAACTTTCTTGTATGGACATCTTTTGGTTTTGGCTGGTTGAGAAGTAACACCAAAATTCTGAGTTCCATGGGAATAGAGCCAAGAGATATTTGGCTTCTTAAATTTAGTGTCCATGGGAGTGGATCTGGGAAAGTCTTGTGGAGGGTCTATGGCCAAAACTGCATAACCAAATTTTGTTCTGAATAGGGTTCTTCATAAGACATTAGGAAACAAACAGCATAACACTTGTAGGAGAAGTTTTCTTAGTAGGGTAATCTTGAATGGTCAGGAAAAAAAAGTTATGAATTAGTGAATTAATCGTTTTTACATATTTGGTTTAAAGTTCCCTTCAAGGTTAATTGAATTGACTAACTATTGGTCATTCTCAGGAGAACTTTTCAACAAGTCTCCTTAGGATCAGAATCTAAGAATATGTTTTAGATTTCTATAAGTTAATTCTAGTGAATAGTGTTTTGCCTACAGTGCGTATAGAGAACTAATAAGAGAAAATTTTATTAAGATCAATTTTTAAGAAAGTAGATATATGTGTGTATATTTAATAAAAACATCACCTTTATTATGAAGCAAAAACAATAGTATTATACTGTTAAAACGCTTCTTTTTTACAGTAATCCCAAACTGGAATCAATAAAAACTGAGCATGTGTGTGTCTTTGCTTCATTGACAAGCTATTTATTTCTGTGTCAGGAATATTTAGTGTAATATTAAAACTGATGTGAACTATTCAACCTTTGTAAGTTATATTATCAAGTAGTTGTCTGTCATTATTTTACATTTATTTTATGCCTGTCAGATAAATTGGACAGCCTCATACATAAAATCTTACATTCAAGAACATCCTGGGTTCTTGACAAAATGAGGTTCTCATTGAGGTATTTTGATATGTACTCTTTGATATGCGTAATAGAATATATTTCAGTATTCCCTATATGTAGTTTTTTGAATGGCAACAAAGAAAATCTTGCTATAAACCATGCATGCTATCTAATGTAAATGTATTCGTTTTCCAAAAGTCTTTGGAAAGACTGCAAAATGCCATCTAGACATGAATATACTAATTTAGTACCATTTTGCATTGCTTGACATCTTACTCAGGGATGACCAAGATGAATACAGTTTTCTTGGATATGTTTTGCAGTATATAGACAGGAACTGAATGACCATGTAAATGAAATTTCACCACTGTATATCACATGCTAGTCAAGTTATAACTTGTATATTATTGCCTATAGTTTAATTTTTAGTTATATTATTGGTAGTATTCATGTATTTTGTTTTAAAAAGTGATCGTTTGATATTTTAAGTGGACTTTTTTTTACATTACAGTTTTAAGAAGTACTAGTAGGATGAATGATAAAACAAATGTAACATTTGAATTTAATTTCTATTTCTTATAATTAATGTACAAATATAAATTGTTAAAATTACATTTATATTAATTATGAATTATTTACTTAGGAATCATAACACAATAGAATTTTAATTATCTCCCCCGTTAAACTTAGTCACTGCTTTATAGCTAAACTACTAAACTGATAGGGGGTGGAGAGGCTGGATCACTTCAAAAATATTTAAGTGCGGTATTGTGCTTAAGGATTTCTAGGTACTTTTTAATCGTTTTGCTATTCAGTTTGAAAATCCGTGTCCCCTAAAGCTCAAATAAATGTGCCAGTATCATTAAGTGCTAGGAAAAAGACATAGCTTCCCTGTGTCCCTGTGGCTTCAGCAGAACTTGTAACTCTAGGACTGTATACCCTTGCCAACTGCAATGCATTTGGAAATTGAACCTATGAAAATATATAAATAGTTTTCAGGTCAAGAAAAAGAGAAATGAAACAGATATAACTAGTCCTTATTTGTGTGTGTGTAAAGTGACTTGACCAGGACCAATTTAAAATGAATCTCACTCATGAGAGCTACAGTAGCAGACCTAAAATTCCTAAGCCAAACTTTTGTAATAAACCATTGGACTTTTTCTAATAAAGTAAAAATCAGAAATCCAGAATTAATTATTATAACAAAAAACTGTTACATCTTTCAAAAAATGTGAAAACACTTTAATATATATTGTTTCTACACATTAGACATAAGAAATAATTTCACCTAGTCATAAGTACAATGAATGTGATTAACAAAATCCCAATTTACAAAATAGAAGTAAATAAATGCATAAATATATTCATTATCAAATTATAAAATGAAAGGAACAGTTCTTGTTGAGATAACAATTTATTATTCTTCATTTCAGATAATGGAGTTAAATCATTTCGGTATGCTTTAGTAATAGTATTAAAATAATGGAACGTTGAGATTTGAATACAATGACAGTAAACCACTGAAATTTCACATTCACATTATACAGCCATCATGAATCCATAAGTGAATGTTAATAATGTAAAAAAATATAAAATGATTGTAATATAACCATCTAACCATTAACATATGGAGTTTTAAGACCACTATTTAATCTCTAATTTGCTCTGAAAAATAAGCAGTTGCTTTTCTGTGATACATGACATGTCTTTGTGCCTTAATACTTAATTTGAAATGTCCTTAATGTAAAAATATACCAAAGTAAATAAAAAAGGAGACACTTATTTACAAAACAATATTGTATACAATTATATAAATGCAATTATTTCAACGTCTTTTTATACAATATTGATAGAATCAGTCATTTCTATTATTTTATCATAAAACTGCAGTGTTGCAAAATTTTGAAATTTTGATAAAAATGAGTACTGTTTGGCTGCCTTTTAAGATAATGTAGTTTCTCCAAGTATGCTACAGAATTAAAAACCGACCTCAAGAAAAATGATTCTTCTTTCATTAAAGAAAATCTTTTCCCCATTTGGAGGTGTATGAAATGAACCTGAAGAAAGGAGAAACATTATTTTACTGAATGTTTTTTATTTGATAAATCCTGATGACATCAGTCATTCAGCCTATTGTATTAGCACCATTGGCATGGATTGTTAATATACTGTACCAATCATAATAGGAATGGAAACTCGCACGTGGTGTACCATCCCTATTTTTGTGGAATTTTATCTTACCAAGTATGCTATCATATAGTACAAATTCAAGTGTTTAAGGATGATTCGAATTATGTTATATAACAATCCTGCATTTTACCAATACTATTATAGATTTTTCTGTAAATATTAAAGGAAACTAAAGAAATAAACTTTAAAGCATACTCCTTTAATTCACCAGAACACAAGGAGAATTGTTTTCATTTCCTTGCCTATGTTGTAATATATATGAACATAAATGTAATTTGATCTCCTTCCAGTTCAAAAATTCTGGAAATCATAAAACTTTTTATTGTATGATTTATTTTAATGGTTAAATGCCAACAATTGCATATATTCTCTCTTTTTAGTTCATATACCATAGCTGGTGCTTAAGTGACTGTAGCATACTCTAGGCCTGTAGCCTGTGGTATGTAATTTCACAGTTTCAAAATTGTTGAGGGGAGACCTTCCATGTTTTAGGAGGTTATAAACCTAATATAAATCTCATGAGCACCCACAACGGTCTACTACCATGGCTGGAATTTTTCCATATATTATTTGTTCTTTGCCATTAAAATATAGCATATTAATTGGAGACATCTTTGTGGGAGTACAGCAAGGACCTGCTGAACCTCTGGGATTTGCTTGGTGTACTAGATGAGTATGAGGATATTTTTGTAAAAATACAAATTCACACTCTCCAGAGCAGTAATTGGCCTTATATCTTTTAGGCGCAATAATCCAGTCCCATCCAAAAGCTTCAAAATCCACAGTTAGAGGATAACGACAGCATCGCGATTCTGTTGAGTGCTCATCACAGTCAAGACCAAAATCTCTTCTGGATCTTTTTGGTGTATCTGTTACCTTGACCTCTAAAAAGGGATTCTGTGTGAAAAGGAAAGAATAATCAGTAATATTAATTGACACTAAAACACTTTCCTACCTTAATAAGTCATTATCGAAGAAAGAAACTAATCATTTTGCTTATAACACATTTATTTTTAAAAGGCAAAATGTTAAGGAATTTTAATTTATACTAGGCTTGATTTTTTCACCCTATGGCTCAAAAGAATATAGCAGCAATACAAATTCCCCTGAGGGTCAGTCCTATGTCTTTTTAATTTTTTTTTTCCAAATTTGAGTATCGCACTGCCTGGCACATAATTGATGTCCTGAAAATACTTATGGGAAAAAAAGGGAGAGAAGGAGGAAAAGAGAGAGAAGAGAAGAGAGGGGAAGTGGGGAAGGAGGAAAGAGGTGAGCTCCCTCTCTTCATGCTTGATTAAATATGTTGGCTAAATATGTCTGGTGACTCCTGGAGGGATAGGTATATTCATCCATCCTTCATTTCCTAGGTCTTTACTCAGGGAAAGTTGGATATTAAAACCAGAGCAAAATAGCTACCTCCCAGCACTGTACTTATGGTGATGGAAAGGAAGGTAGGGTTCTGAGGGTGGTGGTTTGCTTATTGGGTTGGAAAGAGAACCATAAGAGAGGAAGGATAGATTCTGAAGAGGAGACTATGAAAATTTCCTTTATCCTTTCAATGAAAAATGTTTCTATTCAGATATTTAAATAATAATAATTTGTTAGCCCCAATCTTTAAATGCATTTGAGACTTTGTTTCCTTTCATATGGAAAAATCTGAGAAATACATTATATTAACCTCCTGTTTAATAATAATTAAAACCTATCACTTTGATTGTTAAAATACTATCTATAAAGGAGAACACTTTCTCAAATAACTGATAATAGTTTTTACCCTGTATCAAAATGAAAGTAAATCTGGTGGTTATTTAAGATTGTGAAAAAGAATAATATCATTTAGGGAGTCAACACATCTAGAGTAGCATATATGAAGAAAAATAGATCATTTAGAAAACTAGTTTTTTAAAGAATATGTTTTCATTTGAAGTAGATGTGATTTGCTAATTATATAATCTTTATAACCAAGATCATTTAAAGATTAAAAAGATAACTTAATGCTTATTGTTTACAAACATAATTTTCTGTTGTAAATTATGTTGCTGGATGGAAGTAAAAAATATGGTCACGTCAAATAAGTTTTTGAAAACAGAAGTAAATAGAAGCCTAGGTAAGCCAGCAGAGTAACCCTAAATTTATGTTAGGTTTTAAAATAAGTTTTATTAATTTTTATAATATATAAGATATTATCATCTACTTGGCCTGGCATTAAATTAGTTGGCATTCCCTAAGTAAACTGTTGCACAAGAATGCTAAGGCAGATCAGAAGTAAGCTAGGTGGCAAAGGTTAACTAGCTTGGAAATTAATATTTTATTAGGGGTATTCCACAAAGTAATCTATATATACATCAGTGCCTCAACACTCCACAAGTAATAAACATTTATCAAAAGGACCTTAAATATAATATATTTAATAAAATATAAGCCTGTACATATCATATTTAGTTAATTGTTATAAATAAAAGCATTTTATTTTAATTATAATTTTTAAAGTTTGTTTTTTCTGCTATATGCTAAGCCAAAAATTTTCAACACACTTGCCACCCTCTGGGAGAAAAAAAAAAGTTTTTAATTGTTGGATATGTACTAGAATCCACTATATAAAGCTCATGCTTTTATTTATATAATCATCTATCATGTCAATGAAAAGCACTTCATGTTTCAATCCCAACTGAAAAGAACTTAAGAAGCTAAGAACCATGATATGATAGTTTTTTAAATCTTCATGCAAAGTAAGAGTATCAAGGGAGTTTTTCATAGGATATGAAATCGGATACCTACTTTTATTGGGTACAGGGCTACCCTTGGGGTAAGATACCTTTGTTTGGCTCATGAGTATAGGAAATTAGTTATTTTCCACAATCATTCATTCACACTATGAATAAAAACATAACAAGTTGTTAGAATGTTATTTTCAGTTATCACTTACCAGCCCATCTTCTCCTGGTCCTGGGAAGGTTACAGCAAGATCATGACCATTCTCATCTAAAGCTTTGATTTCAATGCCTAAGTTGGATTCAGGTTGTTTGAGCCAATTTTGCAACACTGTCTTCACATCAATGCTCTGCCAAATACCAGTGCCTGGGTTCATGTCAAGTTTCAGAGATCGGATTCCAGTATACCTTGTACCGTCTTTCATGGGTTTGATGAGTCTCAGGATTTGCACAAACACTGTTGTAGGAATCTTGACAGGTCTCAGATATATCCACAGTTGGGCCTTTACTACTTTATTGTATTGTATTTTAGAGCTAAATTTAAAGAAGCAACATTTGGGTTTTCCTTCCACTTGCATTAGAAAATCAGCTATAAATGAATAAAGAAAGAAGAGTTATTAATATTAGTAATTTCCCATTAAAAAATGAACAATATCCCTCCATATTAATAGTTGAGCATTTTTTCCCATTGGGATAATACATTCATATGCAGTCTTCTAAAATGAAATACTATGCAGAACTTCATTCATAACTCAAAAAATATCAAAGAAAATAATTACTCTAGCTTTTCAGAATTTTTTAGATATATTTATTTTCAGCTGTTTATAAAGAATCTACTCCCTTTTCCAGAGAACTCTGGACTAAGGAAAATCCTATGAAGGAATGAACAGTGGATGAAATTTTTAAATGATGATGAAAGAACAAGAGACACTGTAGAGGAACATCCACTTAGAATTCTTTGGGAATCTGAGTAGTTACACTTACTGAGCAGCTGTACCAATCAGTCTGGAAGAAGGAACCCTTCCCCCAGGCCTGAATTACCTGGGGACCAGACACAGCAACTTACTGAGCCTCGGGAATTAGTAGAAAATATAGTACATCTGTTATGTTTTGGCTCTGGAACAGCCTTTTAAAGAAACAAAACTAAGCAAAATTTAGATGTTATATTCAGACTATCTCAAAAACTAGAAAGTATTGTCTTGAGGGCCCGGCTGTCATTGTAAGCAAATCACTAACAATTTCTTTTCTTTTGATTTTCCAAAATTGTCTATAAATAAGGTAAATATAGCCCAGGACTATTTGATAGCAGAGTCTTAAAGAAAATTATTTGTTGCATTGTAACCTGATTACTTAATAAGGAAAACAATATTTTGAAACTGTTTTGAGTCTGGTTTAAAGCATATAAAGCATCATATTAAGGCGAGATAACAGACACATGGCACAAAATCTTTCTTGTCATGCCTTCTCTGTCAAGGTGCCTGTCTTTCTTTTCTGGAGAAAGCATTCTTTTGAACTGACTGCAAAAGGAATTTCATGAAATAATATTATCTTTCAGAGGCAATGTTGATACTACAGGTTATAGTTCTACTTCTCATGAAGAATAAAATATTCTAGACGATTATTAAGCAATGTGCCTGCTTGGAAATACAATGACTGGGTACTCTTGACAGTAGCACCATGGTCAAGGTACAAGTAGGACTTCGTGAGCCATAACCTACCTGAGTAAAATGTTTATTTCTTAGCCATTTTCTGATATTTAGATCACGATTATGATGCTATGTTTATTTCATCATTGCTCTTACTAATACATTAATTAAAATATTTTTCATACTCTTCAGTTTAATAGCTTTCAAATTAAGTATTTTAATTTGTGAAGAACATAAAAACAGAGATTTTTGAATAACAAATCACTCTAGGTGTTCAGCAGTGCTCAAATAAGCTTATACATCTAGCAAATTTCTTCCTTTTTCTACTAGTGAAAAAACTCATTATAAATGCATATTTTAGATAACCAAATGCAATTATAAAATTTTATGTTAGTTTTTAACATTGCTTGTAGTATCTCCCAGTCTTTGTCTTGGTGTTATTAGGGTGTAAAAGCATAAACATGCTATATTTGCTGTATTAAACAAAATAACATTAATGTTGTGCAAGCTTTTTATTTTCTAGCTGTTTAGCTCTATAAGGAAACAAATAATGCAGCAGATTTCAGTCTCATTAATATATTTCTCATGAAATCTTAATATATTAATATATTTCTCATGAAAAAAGAAACTCTTTTCCCTCCTACTTACATACAAGCCAACAGCTTGGTAAAAGAGCCTGAAAATAGATCTGTTTCTCATAAACACTAGGACGACAGTCAGCAGAACTGTTGATATACACTGATAGGACTACTTACACTCTGTAGGCATAGTAATGATTGTTTCTGTCGTAGCGTGATAATCATCATCTTCCAAAGAACCATCACTGCTGTCATCCCTCTGGACATCATACTGATCAATCAGTTCCCGTAGTGGAGGAGCTTTGGGTAAAAGTTGTCTTATAGCATCTTTGCTGATGTTAGGAGCTGTTTCCAGGCGAAGTTTACTGAGGATTTGAATTTTTATGGCTTCTATTCTTGAAGATTTCGTATTTTGTCTCCAAGTACATGCATTGCACAGCCCCTCTTTTTCCACATTTTCTTTTTGCTCACTGTTCTCATTTAGATCCACTGGACCAGCAACAATCAGCATAAACAGGTAAATATAAACACAGATTTGCAGTTTTTGCATGATTTTAAAATCAATACAATCTTTTTCCTTGTTCTTATTTCTTCCTTTTACTTTTCTTTTGCTTTTGAGTAATGCCAAACAAAATTTTAGTGCATGTACAGTCTGAGAGACAACTTGCCACACCAGTGAATCTTTTATACTGTATTTCAAGTGGCTTTTTATATTCCAACTTAGATGAGACAAGTGTCGTCAGGATCTATGATTGGCTCTTGCTCCACAATGAATCTCGCTGTCAGAGGTTAAAACCCTGTCTGTCACAAGTCACCAAACAGTATTTTGTTACAGTCAAGGGTGAGCTGATTCACTTGACTGCTTCATAAAAAAAATAAATCTACAAATAATGAAAGATATATGTGACATTTGTAAAGTTAAAGTCTGTGTTAATATAAACTGTACTTAATTCTTAATCTTTATAAAGTTCTTAAATTATAATTTAAATAAGTAAATTTGAGTTTACACTTCATGCTAAAAATATGAAATGTTACTTCCTCAAAAATTAAAATGATTTTATATTGCTTAGGCAAGCACTTGAAGTAAAAGGATTTTTATTTGTTGTATTAAATTATTTTAGTGCTATGTAATTAGGGAAATAAAAATTAGAAAGGCCTGAATTAAAAGAAAAGTTAAGATTATGATACTAGTAAAAGACTTTCATCTGTGATGCTAGTAAAAGATTTTTGTCTATAATTTGAGGGATTTGTTTTCCTGACTAAATTCTTAGCATATGTTGAAAATATTCTTATTATATTGTCCTATTGTGCATAGAAATATTTTTAAATAGTTTAGTGTACTTTATTAATATGAAAATTTATGCTCAATTTTTAACTGATTACTATTATGTTATTTCCTATTTTAAAGGTGCAGATTAATATTACTCAAAAGGTGTGTTTCTTCATTGTTTATTATCAAGAGGGAAATGTCAGCTAGTAGAAAAATTTCTGAACTTAGAATAAGAAGATAGTGGATTTTATGAGTGGCATTGCAGTGCTTATTACAGTTTGCCTCAGATATCCAGTGGTAAATGTAAAAAGTGTAGCATCTATTTCTCTATAAATTATATCATAATATTGTGAGCACATAAAACAGAAAGAGCACCATAGTAGAGGGGTGCTCTTTTGTTGTTTCCCAATACTGTGATAGGTTTGCACCCCTTTGCCAGTTTCTCATTTTGACCAGAGGGCAGACACCTGGCAGGGATTTGGGGTAAGGTCTGAGAGCAGAGAATAGAGCTTTTTGTTCTCTAAATTTAAGTGGCCTCTGCAGGGATCAAACTCTCAACCTTAGCTTTGGGAGCCATGAGATCTAATCAAATGAACTATTAAAGAGCTAAACAAACATAGCCAGTGAGAAACAGAAGATGTTTCCAGGCCAAAGGAGATTTCTTCTTCCTGCTCCTTTTTGGGAAGCTAAGGACTCCTAAGAGATTTAATCCATTACTTTTTTTTCCAAGAAAATGCAGTGGCTCATGTTTTTTAGGTCACTACCATTTTTGCACACTGTACACTAATTTACCGCCTCGGTGCACTAAAATGCAACTCAGTAGCCTGAAAAGTTAATGCATTTTCATCAAATTCTTAAGAGGTATCTACATCTCTTGAGAAAAAAATGGCCTTACATAATGCATTTGATTTGCCCGTCATTAAAGATTAAGGAAAAGCAGACACAAACCAGATGCCCTGAGGATTTCAGATATTCTTTATTATGGGACAATATTAGATCAGGTTTATAAAGTTTTATCTGTTTGGTAAATAAATCTTTGTAGTGTTATAATCATTGTAATATATGCTTCCGTACACTTCTGAGTAAGTCAAACCTTTTTTTTTCTTTTAATGTGCCTACAGTTGCATAGCTGTTGTGAACTCAGCCTCTGGAGTAAAATAGACATGAGTTCAAATCTCAGCTTTGCCATTTCTAACTACGTGGTAATGGATGAGATACTTAACTTCTAACCTTTAGTTTCCTCATAGGATTTTGGGGGGATATAATTTAATAATGCATGTAAATTGCTGAATATAGCACCTGTCATATAGTAAGTAATTGATAACTGGTACTTGAGTGCTTGTTCTTTGTCACATGTGGAAGGGTTGAGATTGTGCTTAAAATTGTCCTCCACATGAACTAGAACTGCTTCAGCTTGGAGCTGCCAATTATCAATTCACATAGTTTACCTCTCAAGGCTCTGAGGCAGGTAAAATTTTCTAAGACAGCCCTCTTATAAGACATGTTTCTGCTCTTTATTCTTACTACCTGGAATAAAGTAAACAAAGGTTGTCATTTCCATACACAGTCAATTCTCATTACTCATGGATTCTGTGTTTGGAAATTTGCCTACTTGCTAAAATTTATTTATAAAAATCAATACACCTGGTGTTCTGCAGTCATTCATTGAAATGCTCAGAACAGCAAAAAATTTGAGGCTTGTGACACACAGGTTCCCAGCTGAGGTCAAACAAGACAGTGCTCTGACTTTTTATTTCAGCTCTCATAATATAAATGAGTGCCCTCTTTGCAGTCTATTTCGTGACACATTTTTCACATTTTTGTGGTTTTTGTTGATTTTGCTGGTTTTACTTTCTAAAAACAACCCCCAAGCGTATGAAGTGCCGTGTAGTGTTCCTAAGCAGAGGAAGGCTATGATGGAGAGTAGAATGGTAGTTGCCAGGGGCTGGTGGGGTTAGGGGTGGGAGTAGTCTCTGTTTAATAGATATAGAGTTTCAGTTTGGGAAGACAAAAAAAGTCTGGAAATGAATGGTGGTGATTGCACAACAACGTGAATGTACTTAATTCCACTGAACTGTACACTTAGAAATGGTTAAAATGGTAAATTTTTTGTTATGTGTATCTTACCACAATTTTTAAAAGGCTGTGATATGCCTTAGGAAAAAATATTTCTTGTGTAAAAGTACGTGTGTTAGATAAGCTTCATTCAGTCATGAGTTATAGTGCTGTTGGCTGTGAGTTCGATGTTAATGAACAATATATATTAAATAAGGTGTCTCTAAACAAAAACACACATTAAGCAAGGTTATATATTGATTTGCTGAAGAAAAAGTTGTGACCCGAGGCTCACCTAACTCTGTATTTCCCCTAGGAATAAGGGTTCAGTATTTGCTAACTCAGTGTTGACAATGACTTTATAGAACATAAGTACCATGAAAATAATAAGAATTGACTGTATCTAATCAACTTCTCTAGAAGACAATGTTGAATGGGTTAAGAAGTGTTCAAGAGATTTCAAGAACTTTTGTTTCTTCCCCAGTGGCAGTGATTGCAACCTTCCCAAAGCCCCAGAGCAGGAGAGTTCACCAGTTGCAGGAACCTTCACTGTGGTCTGACTACTGGGGACCTACTTTCGGCTGTTCTCAGAAAGGACATAGGATAGTGAACCATTAGGATGAGAGGAGAATTTTTCTACTTGACTGGGAGAGCTTGGTCTATCAACTCTCAAAGCCTTGTTTTATGTGAGCCATCTGTAAAAGCAGTTTCTCGCAGGAGTTAGATTAGGTGGCCAGTGCAGCACCTCACAAGACTGGTAGTGGTCATCTTCAGACTGGGTCAGCTGTTGTGGGCCTTACATTTTCTGTAACTATCAGTAAGGTGGCAAGAAAACTTCTCTCATCTCTGTTACAAATATCCATGGGTTGTCTCCAAACATCTTTGAAGATATGAAGTATATTTTCCACAGAAATGTTTATGGTTTTGCTTTTCCACAATCTAGGAACTACTGAATGCACTAAAGTAAAGACTTGCCAGAAGTTTCATGATGTAGCCAAAAAAAGGAGGAAGAGGAGATTAGGAATTAGAATAAGAATGGATCGTGAAAAATTCACCTGTTTTGGGGAAAAAACCTAAAAAGTTATATTCAAACTAATCACTCTTGTCATTTCCATGTAATAACAGCCCTTTGGTACTACTCCATGCTGATTACTCTTAAAGCCAGAAAAAACGATCGTGCTCAACTCATATATAACGCCACGAGAAGATTGTCATCCCACATTGATGATAAGTGATTTCCCTTGCTTTTAATAGATTATAAGACAAAGATTAGCAAAAACAAATGTATTCTTGAGCTAGGGAGCAAGAGTATAGGAATAGAAGACAGTAGATCTGGAATATAGTGCTGGCTTTCCTGCTGACATTTTCTGTAACGTTGAATAAGTCAGCAAAGCCTTCATTTATGTATGTATGTATTATGTATGTATGTATGTATAAATTCATTTATTATTTTATGAAATTTTTGAATGCCTATTATGTACCTGGCACTGTGTTAGATTCTGAGAATGAGACAATGAGCCAAAAAGACACAATCACTGTCTTCATAAAACCTATGGTCTAGTTTCTTCCTATAAAATATAAGAAAATTTGATTAGGTATGCCCTTTCAGTTGAAGTTTGTCCCCTAAAGTGGTAATTCGCAAACTTTTTGGTCTCAGGATTTCTTTACACTCATAAAAATTATTTAGGAACCATAAAATCTTCTGTTTTTGTGGGTCATATATATCAATATTTAACATATTATAAATTAAAACTGAGAAAGTTTAATATACAGGCATACATTCTATTTGCTGACAGAGTGATGATGTCCTCACACATCATGAGTCTCTAGAAGACTCCATTGTACACTTAAGAAATAATGAGAGTGAGTGAGAAAGGCAAACGACATCTTAGAATTATTATGAAAATAGTTTTTACTTCACAGACTCTCTGGAAGGGTCTTGGAAACCACTCCAGGGACCCCCAGACTACACTTTGAGAACCGCAACCCCAAAGTAGTAATTTTTACACTATTTCAATTGAGTATTTCCCATTCTAACTTGAAGTCCCCTCCTCCCCTCCCAATACACGTAGCTTTGCTTTTAATGAGACATCAAATATAATAATTTTAAAACATTTTATGAGTATATTTATTTCATAGTACATAATTATTGCCAAGAGCAGGAATATAAATATTATTGTATTGTAATCACCAACTACAAACTTGTAGGCAATCTAGAGGACATTTGCAGAACATTTGTCAGTTCTAGGTGTAGACTTAAATCTCTGGTCTTGAGGGATTTCTTGTAGATGATCTTCAGATCAGCCACTGATACTACAGCAATGCCTCAT